ATACAAAGTACAAAGCAAGTAAATGAGAGCTTTAGTTATAAGTCAGACATTCTTAGAATATTTACTTCCTCAGCTTAGATAAGTGTTCCTGGAGCAGAATTTTTGTTTGTTAGTTCTTTGTGCATATAGATCAACTTTTTGAGGCTGCACAAACACACACACACACACACACACATTCTCTCGTTCTCTCTCTAAGGTCAAAGCCCTCTTGGGGTTCACCAGTGAATCCCTAGGTTATCCCCAGGCATACAGATGAAAGAGGACAAAACCTCAAGTATTAAAATCTACATTATAATGAACCAGGAGACCACTTGGTATAATAAAAATTAAGCTCCTGAATTAAATTATTTGCTGTATGTTAATCTGAAATAGAGCTTTCTCTGGCTAATGAAAAATGGGCTTTAGTGGACTTAAGACCTAGCAGATCAACTTTAAAACTAGAGTTCAAATGCATTACTAATAAGACAAACCAGCTTCTCTTTCCTTAAGCACAAAACATCACTATAGGATTAAATAAGAAAATCATAACATTGCTTCTAATTTTGCCTCTCTGCAGTACTTAGCCAATGGTACAACTGTAACTCTAACTGGAATGACAAAGAATTCCACAACAGAGTTTTAGAAAACTTGGAAAAAAGGAACCTAGTGATTACTCTGTAAATAACTGAAGCCTGATGACTGAATATGGATTAATGGGTAGAAGCAAGGCCTTTTTCAGGAAACTAAATTTCTTAATTTTCTAATCAGTAAACTATACAGATTTCTACTTTTCATTTGGGTCAGACCTGAGGGAGGAAATCATGTCAGCTGCTTGGTATGACTCTTCCAGAGACCTGACTTCAGTAAACATTTTTCATGCTCCACAAGAGGCAGTAGAATCTTATCTTTGTTGCTCTGGAAGGTAACCCCCCACCCCCACCTTACTGTATTGTATTATTATTCAGTAAATAAAATACAATGTCACAAAAATAAATCCTCACTGAAAATTCAAAAGCAAAAATTTCCAATTTGCCTAAAAATTCTCTTTAAGATTGAGTTGCACAGTGGTAATACCTTTAAGAAACAAAAAATGAAAATGGACAATTGCGTGAGAAAGTGCAAACATAGCTGCATGCTCTCAGATACCCAGGTACAGTACATTATCTTACCCCAAAGTTCACATATTTTAAGGACATTTATTTCAAAATCTACACTATTAAGTATTATAGAATATTTTGACACACACAATGTATCTTTTTTCCTTTCCATGGTTAAAGGTAATGAAAAACAAAAGATGCCATCTCTCTAGAGATGGGAGGAAGGAATCGTATAATGGCAAAAGTTCCCATTTATATATTATAAACCAGAACCTCAAAAGTATGACTAAAACAATTTAAGAAATCTCAAGCTATTACGAATCACAAGTTTTAAATGATATATTTTTTAAAAGAGTATAACAATTGAATTATTTCAAATGCTTGAAAAACAAAGGTATTCCCTGTTGAGAAGGAAATATAATTTTCCCCAAAGGAACGATTCTGAAATAAATAAAAGCCCATATTCATGTGAGCCTTTAAGATCCTAAATTGGACACAATCTTTCCTTACAATACTGAGACCCACATATATACTGAGTATAGAATTTCTCAATAAAAATATAATCTCTGTAAAAACATTCAAATCATATGAATTGTTAAATTATCAATTATTCTTCCTCAAACAATTAAAATGTGCTAATTTGTAGATATGAAATAATATACTTATTTTCTTATCTAACTAAAATGATGTCAGTGAATATCCAGCTAGATCAAAACTCAAACAAGAACATATTTTTCCTTCTGCATCTTTCATGAAACAAGCAACATCGAATAACTACTCCATACTCAATTCTGTCTTTGATCTTTTATTACTTCACACACTGCCAAAACCGTGACAGGTCTATAATGATTATATTTTACAGATGGAGTTTGTTTGCTAACCAGGTAACTTAAGATTTCTTCATAGCCTCTTTATATTATAAAGAAATCTTTGGAAGAAGGCATGTTTCTTGCACTAAATGATCGTGAATATTAATTCCACCTTTCAGGTGAATCTTGACATTGAATTTTGACATTAAATGTAAAACACTTCCGCTAAAATGGTAGTTAGAGAAGTTTATTAAGAGTGCAAGAGTTAAGATTAGAATAATAATGGGTCTTATTTATTCTCACTGAGGTCACTTAATTGCAGGGTCACCTTTCCAATGGGGTTCTCCCTCAGTTGTAAGCCCTATGGACCAGACATGGATACTTGCAAAGCATCATCCCATTGCAAAAAACAACTTAAATCACACACCCAGACAGTACTGTGCCAGTAGTTTTCTCTAAAAACTGCACAATTCTACTGCTCAGACTCCCATTGTTTTAAAGCCCAAAACCATGCTCTCTTCCCCGGTACATTTTGCTTTAAAGATTTTCTTTTGATAAAGAAACACCATCACCTAGAAAGACACATTTATAAAACTCTTGGCCATACCTGAAACTGGAGGATTGAATCTGTAGGAGCAAGTACTCTACCTGTTGACAATAAAGTTCAATCTTCTTTTGGGTCCTCCAGTTCTCCCCACTTAGTTCCAACAGATAGAGTAGACAACACTCACTCAGTGGTTTGACACCTTGCTGACATGCAAATATACATAATCCAACAATGACACCTCAGGAAATGACGGAAGTCTTCATCTTATGACACTCACTAAACAAGGCTTGGTCATGTGTTTATCCTCCTCCACGTCATCACAGTCAACACTCAGGGGAAGAAACTTCTTGGAACTTTTTCCCTGAATATAAACTTCTTATTTTGAATATCACAGTACTTTAGGAGAATGAATTTTATATTTACTTCATGGACTCTCACCCAGACACTTAGGGTGGGAAGACCTCTGAAGAATCATATAGTAATGCCATAGTTACTGCTGCCTAATAAGGTCCTAGTGATTAGCTTGGCTGTGGCTACCCAGCACCTGAATGCAGCTAGTCCGAACTCAAATGCATCATATTATTCACTCTTTTAATCGATTAAGTGTTGAAATAATGTATACAGGATTAAATGAAATTTTTAACTTTGTTAATGCAACTAGAAAACGAAACCATTTATATGATTTACATTCCATTCCATTGCATAGCACTGCTACAGATCTTAATCTTGAGAGCAAGAACTACAACTTGGCATTTTCAAATTAGAATTGTTGGATCTGACCTGTGGCACAGGGGTTAAAGTCTCAGTGCTATCAAACTATCCCCAGCCACCACAACAGGAGTTCAATCTGGCTAAAGAGCTGACCCATACAGGGCAGACCTCTCCTGTCTTGCCCACTGCTCCCCTCAGCTGTGTATTTCAGTAGATCTACCTGTTCTGCTCCCCACTCTGTCTCTGGTGAATCCTCTCACCTCCTGCACCTCTGGCCTGTACCCCAGTTTAAAATAAATTAAAAAAAAAAAGTCCATTTAGAAGTTAAAAGAAAAAACAACCTCTCCCCTTCTCCACCAATTAAATTGAGATAACTCCATAAGAAAAACTTTAAAAGAGTGTAAAAGTTATCAACAGACTCATTTTGCCCTGACTCCATTTTAAAGAGATTAGTTTACCTTTAAAAAGCAAAAATAGAATAGGATAGGACGAAAAATGCACACCTTTTTGATGTGAAATTTACAAGCACCACGTTCCTCTAATAAAGTAAGTCTAAATACTGAGGAAAGGTTTATCTTTGAGGGGAAGCATTTTCTAAGAAGGTATTTTGCTTTATGTGATTCAAAAATATTTAGGTCTCCAGGCTTATAGGAGAAAAAAATCCAGCATTATTTGTAATTTATGAAAAAATATTTTAAGCGAGGAGGGGAGAAAGCTCTGTAAAGGCTGGTGGAAGCCTGCTCAGGTGTTCGAAGGATGCAAGAGTCACTTCTAGAAAACTGTCAATATGGAAACTGCATAAAAAGTGATCAAAGGAAATTACGACCATTGAGTCCACAGATCTCATCGTGGAAACACGAGCTGCTTAGATACTTTGGATCGGGTCCTAGCCAACCTATCACCCCAAACAGGTCATCAGGTAGTCAATTCCTTTTCTATTTGCACTTCATCATGCGAACATAATCTTCAGAGCTCTATGTGCTGGGTGATGGTGACACATTCCCTAGAAATCTTTTCCCATTTAATGCCACGCTGTTAGAGTAAGCAGAAAGGATTGTATTTATTTAAAAATAAGGAGTAGCCTGACTGCAGTCTCCTGTCTTGGTGGGAAGGGGAGGAATGGTAAAGCTTTTTCTCAGTCTGATCCTTCAAACACTGAAGTCACTCTCAGAGCATCAAGACTTCTAACATTGCCCAATAGGCAAGAAGACTGCCAAAATTTCCATTAGAGCATCCTATTTATAGTCTTTGCAATTAGTCTTTAAATTGTATCCCACAGTACAACGTGTTCGACTAAGTTCAGACAGGGCACGACATAAGCCGTCTCAGTGTTTCCCAGCTTAGGACGGAGGGCGTGTGAGCTTTCAAATCGAATTCTTTACATCCTAACTTGAGATCTTTGAAGCACGCAAATAAAAAATTTAAAAAATGAAGGTAAATACTGGCCTCGGGGGAGAAACCGAAGGGCGACACTGGGCGTTTCTGGATTACCAACGGGGCGGGAGGGAAACAGGTACGGAGCAAAATAAGAACCATCCACACGGGTGGGGAGACCAGCCGGCTCCAAAGGCTTCGGGGCGTCGGGGGAGCCGCACGCCCCGGGGAGCCCGCGAGCAGCCGCTTCAGGCGCGTCCCCCAGGAGGGAGAATTTGGCGCGACACGCTGAGGCAGGCGCGGGGAGAGGAAAACAGGCGACAGGGGAGGGGGCGGAGGTGCGGAGCGGGGCTGCCCCTCGCGGGGAGCGCAGAGGCGGCCGCCGGAGCACACTGCAGGGGGAGGATCGCGGGGTTCCCCAAGGCTCCCCCCAGCCCCGCCGCCCGCCGGCTCGCCCCCCGCCTCCCGCGCTCCCTCTCCTACCTGGGAATCGCAGGCGAAAGGAGGGCTACCGCCGGGCGCCGGCTCGCTCCGCAGCCCCACTCGCTGACATGGCGGCCGACGAGCTGTCACCGAGCCCGGCCGGGTCTCCCGCGGCTCGGGCGGCTGAGACACCTCCGGCCGGCCCGCCCCGCCTCCCTCTGCGCGCCCCTCCCGGCTGGCCGGCTGGCGGCGGGCGGCCAGCGACCGCGGAGCATAGAGCGCGAGCGGCTAGAGAGGAAGCGCCGCGGGCGGACAACCATAGAGTTCGAGTCCGACGCGACCCGGAAGGCGCGTCTCTCGCCTCCGTCCACTCGCAGTCCTGGGGCGGCTGCGCCGGGGCGGAAGCGGAAGTGAGGGAGGGACGCGCGGAGAAGTCGTCGTTCGCCTGCGCGGCTTGCCGTGTTTACTTCCGCCTGGTAGTCGGGCGGCGAGGGCATGGCGCACGTGGGGTGCCGGGCGGGAGGGTGCCCTGAATAGCGCCCCCGGGCAAGATTGGGGCGCACCCCAGAGGGCACCATGTGGGGCGCCGTGGCTGGGCTTTCTTGGCGGCCGACGCTGTTAGCTTTGAGCGCGGCTGGCCGCACCCGCGTTTTGGGGTCCGGGGCGGCGAGGAGGAGGGGTGTGTCGGCGAGGAGTTGCCACGGTTTATCCGACTTTCACCCGGGTCTGGATTACGAGGAGACGCCCCTGTGGTCGTTCGGTTACCGCTTCGACCCCAAGCGTTACGTAACCGATCCGAAATTGGTTAGGACCGTGGCAAAGATCTTACAGAAACCACAGAAAACGTGCCAGCTCTTCATGGAGTGCAATCCTGGTGAGTCTCGCGGCCTGGGTGTCGCGCAGAGCGGGAGTTCTGCAAACTTTTGTTGCCCGTCCTTCGGGTACTGCGTAAGACATCGCCCGTTCCTTGAGGCAGCTTACCTGGTCTGTATTACAGGTCACATCACAAAATAGTTCTGTAGCAGCCTGCGCTGTGCATATTTTGGTGCAACGTATTCTTAGATCTAAGCGTCTCCTCCAAGTAGTAGATGCAAGCGCGCCCCAAAGAACTTTATCTGACCTCCCGTATGTGTCCTATAGGCCGTAGCAGAATGCTGAGCACACACGGGTTACAGGGCTTTTGAAACGAGTGTTTTAAAGACATCATTTCTTATTATGAGGAAACAGTTCTCTACATTTGACAGTGTCTTAGTTGCTTGACATCCGAGTAGTTTGTCATTAAGTGATAGCTTGAGGCAGCCTTTTTGGAATGTTTTTCTGAAGAGGTTGTGAAATGTTGTGGTTGAGAGTGCAGGTTTCGTAGTTTTTGATAGGATGGACTCAAAGCAGGCAGCAGCACTTACAGCCGTGATGTTGGAGTCAAGTCATTGCATCTAATGCCCAGCTTTGTTAATATGTGAATAGATAGAGTAATACCTACTGTGGAGACGTGAGAGTTGAAAGTAGGTAATGCATGCAAAACATCTAATACTAACTCACTGAAAGAACTTATGTTTCTTTTTCACAAATAAACTTTTCATTCTTTTACTACACCAGGTCCTGGAATCTTGACTAAAGCATTTGTTGAAAGTGGTCATAAAGTGGTTGCCCTTGAAAGTGACAGTACTTTTATCCCACATTTGGAGGTATATGCTTAGTTTCTAAAAGTAATTAATTTTGTAATTGGCTATCTTTGGGGGGGGGGTTGGGGAAGTGAAATTAAGCACGCAGGTGTTTTTGTTTTTTTTTTTCATCGCTTCATTGGGGGCCATGCCTTAAATGTCTTATCTGTCCCCAGTGACGAGAGCACAGTAAGTATCAGCGCTTGTCAGATGACTAACAGCTTGCAAATTCTGAAGCTGTTTCCTGTTGACTAGCTGAGTGAGTTTGTGCAAAAAGTATGTATAACTGGCGTCTGCAGGCTTGTTTTTAGCTTTACTAGTAGGCTGTACTGTGCACCTGCTTTCTCTGTGCCTAGAGTCTAATTGAAGGATCCTACTCTAAATGATTTTGTGTTACTTCTAACTAGGTTTGTGGAATCTGTAGCTAATACTCCCACTGAAGTCCCCAGCAATACAGCATAGCGAGCAAGTGAGGACAGTAAACAGATGAGATGCGCGGCCCTTCCGCAGATGAGGAGCTCTCCCTTTTGTACTTGATTCTGTCTTGAGAGAGAGCAAATGGAGAATCAGGGGAAATGCCCAGTGACCTTTACAATGACTTAAGTTCTCTTAGTGAAGCACTACCCAAGTGTTCAAGAAAAGGGAGAGTCTGCTCTTGGATCTTACCTGCCTTGCTGTTTAGTATATTTGTTTTCTCTCCAATGACACATTTCCCGAAGACTAGCGTTTGGATTATAGCTCCACCAGAGCTCAGATGTGGTCAGTTTGCCCTGTGGCCCAGGCAGTAGCTATTTAGTAGATAGAGAGAGATTAGAGTGAAGAAATAGTTTGAATTGGAGCCATTGAAATAAAGCAAGGAAACTAAAATGTGTACGAATTTGTTGGCATTTTATTTAGGAAACTTTTTCTTAGTATTGTTGTACTTTAAGCACTTTTTAAATATTAATTTCTTTGATGTTAAGCTTTAAGGTACCGTAATATTGTTTTCTTTACATCTTTATTAAGGCAATTTTTAGTAAGAGTTCTGTTTTGAAGTAGATCTTGGAACTGTAAGAAATTTGCGCCACTAAAATTTCTTAACACGGTATCTTTACCGCTTTAGACCTTACAAAGTAATTGGGGTGGAAAACTACAAGTGGTTCACTGTGACTTCTTTAAACTGGATCCGAGAAATGGTGGAATAGTGAAACCTCCGATTATGCTTTCACAGATGCTCTTTAAGAATTTGGGGATAGAAGCAGTTCCTTGGAAAGCAGGTAATTTTTATCACTCAGCGAAGAATATGGCTAATAATTTTTGTGCTTTCCCTAGTTGTACACTTGTTTTGTTAAAGAGAATCTGTCTGCGATTTATGGCTGGAAGCCCTGAAGTTGAATGTGCCCTTTCTCTTCACTTAACATAGATAACCAGTGCAGTAAGACTGAGTCAGTCTCAGGGAAAGATGCTAGTCTTAGTTTTAATTGAAATAAGCTTAAAGTTTATAGTTTGTGGACTTACAAAATAATAATATAATATAATAAAATAATGGTTATAGGAAAAAGTATTAAGAATTGATTCAGATATTCTTGCTGTCTTCCTAACAGGTATCCCTTTCAAAGTAATTGCAAGCTTCCCAATTAAGAATGAGAGGAGGATACTATGGAAAATTTTACATGACTTATATTCCTGTACTTCTATATTTAGATATGGTCGAATAGAACTAAATATGTTCATTAGTGAGTCGGAATATCAGGTAGGTTAATAATAAGTTCCTGATTTCTTTTGGGGCGAAGAGGGGGAGATGTGTGCAGAGGGGCTGGCGGGAGCTGGGGAGCTGGGATTAGTGGAGGTGGTTTATTTTTTTGGACAAGGGGAAGGAACTTTTCAAGTGGAAGTATTGTAAGGCCTGGCAGGGGTGGGATCGTGCTAGCCAAGCTCATGAGCCAAGAAGTCAGTTAAACCTGAAAGCTGAAATTTAGGCCTTTTAAAGAAGCAGGTGGAGAGCAGAGTCACCACAGCAGCTCCCTGAAGGGGCCTAGATGGACGCAGTTGTAGGACCGATGTGCCCGGCACTGATCTAACTTGGGTTTTTGACACTGTGAAGATGGTCTTTAAGTTTCTGTATTCAGGCCATAGGTTTGGGCGTTTTTCTTGAAGGCTGTATTTTTGTTTTTAATTGTAGTAAAATAAGACATAGAAGTTACCACCTCGACTGTTTTTAAGTGTATATGTAGTGACGTTAGGTGCGTTCAGTTTGGTGCCGCTGTTATCATGTCTCTTAGACCTTTCCATCATCTAACCTCCTTTAAGTTCTAGATACTAGTAACATTTGAGTTTGATTGGTTCCAGTTATTTATAACGTGTAGCCTCCATTCCCTCTTCCTAGAAGCTCGTGGCAAGCCCCAGAACCGCCCCCTTCTATCAGCCTCTCAGTGTGCTCTGGCAAGTAGCTTGTGACATCAAGCTTCTGCACGTGGTGAGTAGAATTCTTCGAAGCTTAACCAGGGAACTTTGTCATTTTTAGAGTCGACATTTGTGAGACTAGTGAATGAATAAAAATGAAATGCTCATTTGATTATTTTCCCCAGTTATTGATGACGATAAAGCGAGGTAATTTTGTGTTGACTTCTGTGGCCACACATACTTGTATTTACTCTGATTATAGAAGTAACGTATCCTCGCTGTAAAGGTGAGGCATGTTGAAGAAAGAAAAGGACAATTAAAAATCGCCACTACAGTTCTTCCACCCAGTGGTCACTGTGGATGTTTGTGGCATCTGCTTACTCTTTCATTTGTTCTGTGCAAGTTTATTTTTTTAGGCGAGATCAGAATTGACTTATTATTTTATATTATTTTGTGACTGCATTATAGAAATAAAAAAGAAAACAAGTGACATTTAATTTCAATGTTAACCTCAATTTGAAATATTGCCATTTCAGGATATAGTCACTGTTTCAGAATTAGATATGACTTAATTTTCAGGTTTCCTCTTCGTTCATGCTGTGCCCTAAATTGCTTGGATCGGCCACGGCGGGTGGGGAACCTGGCGGCCAGTGTGGCAGCCTTGCCCGCCGCCAGGCTGCTCGGCGCTCTTCACTTAGTGACTGGAGCTGCGGGGGTCTCAGGCATCGGGAACAGCTGCAGGTTCTAGTCCATTTCCATTGTCACTATAAATATTCATAAGTGACCATTTTGAGACTAGCTCTTCAAACTTTATATCTGTTATCCTGCTTTAGTCTTTTTTAAGATATGAAACAAATAAGACCCTTTTAAAAATTGGCCTCAAATATCTTTATTTGGTAGCTCCTTACATGCCTCATCATTTTCAAATAGGTTTTAATTACTTAAATAAATCAGGTGAAGGGCCCTCCCTGGTGGCGCAGTGGGTTAAAGCACAGCACTGAGAAGCTAAAGCCACCTCTGCATGAGTTCGATCCCTGCCTGCCCGGGGGAGATCCACAGGGTGTGGCGGATCTCTCCTGACCCACTGCTGCTCCCCTCAGCAGTGTACTTCACCATTCTGCCTGTTCTGCAGCCCGCTGTCTCTGGTGAATCCTCTCACCTTCTACATTTCTGGCCTGTACTCCAGTTCCATATGAATAAATAAATCTTTAAAAAAAAAAATGAATCAGGTGAAAATACCCTCAGTATCAATCTTTTTTTTTTTTTTTAAAGATTTATCCTTTTGTGCATACAGAACTGGGGTACAGGCCAGAGGCTCAGGGGCGGCGAGAGGCTTCACCAAAGACAGAGCGGGGAGCAGAACAGGCAGATCGACGAAGTACACTGCTGAGGGGAGCAGCGGGCGGGTCAGGAGAGGTCTGCCACGCCATGTGGTCACCTCCGGGGCAGGCGGGAATCGAACCCATGCAGAAGCGGCTTTAGATTCTCAGTGTTGTGCTTCAACCCGCTGCGCCACCAGGGAGGGCCCTCAGTATCAATCTTAACTGTTCCTAAACTGACTGGAAATGTTGGCTATTAAAAATTGTGACTTAAGAACCTAAATAGGGCATATCAGTGGTAGTTTTCTCTAAATAATAGAGCTATCAATATTGGAATATGTCTGATTCCTCTTTATATTAAGAAAAGGAATGTGTGTGATTTGACTGTCACATGTGACTTAAATCCAGCTAAACTGGCAGTTTAGATTTATCTGTATAAACACTAACTTACTTTGTTAGACTTTTTAAAAAAAGATTTATTTATTTATGCACACAGAACTGGGATACAGCCCAGAGGTGTGGGGATGAGAGGATTCACCAGAGACAGAGTGGGGAGCAGAACAGGCAGTTTGACGGAGCACACTGCTGAGGGGAGCAGCAGTGGGTCAGGAGAGATCTGCTGTGCCCAGTGGGTCACCTCCCTGGCCAGGGATTGAACTTGTGCTGCAGTGGCTGCTTTAACCCACTGTACCACCTGGGAGGGCTCCTGTTAGACATTTTTTTCAAGGCCTTAATAATTTGGGCACTGTGGCCAAAAAGAACTTAAAGAAATGTTATTTTGTTTTTTTCTTCTCTCAAGGAACCTTGCTCATCATTTGACCTGTGTACCCAAAATGGGATATTGGAAAAGTCAGGTTATAGGGTAAGAATCAATGTCTTTCTCTTTTCCTCTAAATTGAAAAGGTTGTTCATGTGTTTGTTTTAAGATTAACTGCATTCTGTATTTATCTAAACTGGAAATCTCAGAGTTTTTTAAAGCCCTATCTTACTCTCTAATAATTTCAAATTATTTTGTAAGAGAGATGAAAGTTTCAGGTATTTATGTGATGTATGCTGCCTTAGTAATAGACCGAAACAGAGAAATCTGTTACAAGTTCTGTTCCAGTTTCTTTTGAAGTGAAAGTACAGCTCAAGTTTGGGAAATGTCATTTTACTACTTATGTAATTTGATAAACCAAAGTTATAAATGAATTTTTGTTAAATATAAAATAAACAAGGGGTTTTTACCAAATAAGTGACATTTCCTAAGAACTTTAACAAGGCACCCTTTTTTTTAGGAATCACTTTAGGGCAAATGCATCTTAACCTAATATAATCCCAAATGCAGTTTTTTACGTTTTTCTGCGTGATACTATATACCAGTGCAGTTGGTAAGCTTTTCTGTAAGAATCCCCAGTAAATGTATAATCTCTGTCCTGTTCTTTATTTCTGCTTTTTAAAATAAATTTAATCCTTTATACATGTAAAACATTCTCAACCCTTTGACTATAAAGAATAGGTAGGCCATGTACTATAGTTTGTTGCCCTGTTTTGTTTTTATGTCCAATTAAAAATTATGTCATCTTCATTTAATTCTAACATCTGATGTGGTTCAAATAGGGAAGGAACTCAGTACCTGTTACGTTATGTTTGGGTTTGTGTTTATCCTACTTGTAAGTTACTAAGCTGCTTTTCGTTTGTGGCTGGGGACCAAGACAGACTGGTGGGTCAGACAAAGGCTTCGCTTGTTTCCCAGCCCCAGGAGTGTGGATAGGGCTGCCTGGGCGGTGTGCGTTGCACGAGCTGCAGGTCTGGATTGCGGATGAGGAGCAGAGAGCTGAGGAAATCTACCTCTTCTGTCGCAATATCAATAAACAATTCTGTCCCTCAAGGTGACTCATGCAGTGAGGTAATCAGAAATGACCAAGCTAGGGCCCTCCTTGGTGGCCCAGTGTGTTAAAGCGCAGCACCGTGAAGCTTCTGCAGATGCTTCACGGTGAGTTCGACCCTGCCCCGGAGGTGACCCACAGGGCGCGGCAGACCTCTCCTGACCCTCCTACTGCTCCCCTCAGCAGTGTGCTTTATCGATCTGCCTGTTTTGTTCCCTGCTCTGCCGCTGGTGGGTCCTCTTACCGCCCCCCACCTCTGGCCTGTACCCCAGTTCCGTATGCATAAATAAAAACATCTTAAAAAAATAAAAAAAGAAATGACCAAGCTAAAGAGCAGTTAGGACCTTGCATTTCTGGCACACCCAATACTGGTGTGACCTATACAGCGATACTCGGGGTCTGTGGTGGCTCTTTCTTCCACCCAGTAGCTTACACGAGTGAGTGAACAATGTCTTATTCTGACAATACTTGGTGACCGGTGCAACTTACTTTCCCTTCTTTCCAGGCAGCCTTAAGCCAAATGCAGCAAAGAATCTGTTTTGTTCGAATGACTCCTCGAAAAAATTTATTCACAGAAAACTTAACACCTATTAACTATGACACCTTTTTCCACATGACGAAGCAGTGTTTTGTGAAGCGCAGCGCCAGGCTGTTGGACCATTTACCGTGAGTAAAAAGCAAGCAAGAAGCCAGTATAGATGTAACAGTTTAATGTGAGAATGCACTTTCATGTTAGAACCCTGTTTCTTTATATCCGATTTATCTTAACAGGTGCCATGATTTCATTCATCTAGTTTTTTCCCCAAAATACTCCCCTTTTGCACATTTATTCTCCTGAGCTTAATTTTTTTTTCTGAACTTTTGTGAAGAAACAATCAGGGATGCCTCCGTGTTGTTCTGCCTTTACCAGAGTATCCACCCGTGGCCAGTCCACGTGAAGAACTCGGGAGAGCGAGGTGGCATAGGCACAGCCACTGTCCCTCGTCATGCGTCACCTTAGTGGTGCTTTCCTAACCAGGGCAGGCGCAGATCATTATATCACCCTTGTCCTCCTGGCAGGTGTTAAGTCACGTACAAACATTTACAGACTACGACTCTGCAGCTATATGATTTTCATGTAAGGCTGATGTTCACAGGTCTCTGCAGTTATGCTTTGTACTTAGCAATTAGAGCCCACAGTCATTCATTGTCAGATGGTGGGAAAATTAATCATTTTGTTTAACTTGATCATTTGATATATAACCGGACTATTGAATATATGATGCTTATGTGAAAATAGATGTCAGAAGTGGCAATGGACCATCAAAAGTAGTATGTTATTTTTCATCTTGACACCTTTAGCTATTTTGAAAGAAAGTATCAAGAATTCTGTTAAACCCTCCCTTAATTTGTTGTTAATAGAGTCCTGCAAACTGCAGTTTTTAACTGAAACTACCTATAATGAAAATAGATTTTCAGATAAGGCCTTGTTCAGCTGTCTGGGATTGTAATTTTTTAAAATCAACATTGTAACAAAAAGGTGAACCTATTATATAGGAAATTAAGAAATAATTATGGTGTGTGTGTGGGGGGTGGTAGAAAATGCTAAGACTTCCCCTTGGTGATCTTTATGAATGGAAAGCATGTTTATTCTTATAACCATGTCCTATTCAAAATCAAAAGGAACTTAGTGGAAATATTTTCCAACAAAATATGGCTTATTGGTGTGTCTTGCCAGGCCAGTCGGTAAGGCGGTTTTCTGCTTTATGACTTGCTCACTCATAATTGTCACGTAAAGGTGTAACAGTTACTCCCTCCAGATACTGCCAGACAACAGTTTGCTTTTCAGCTTACTGGAGTTTTACATGTAGCTTTAGATGGAGTCAAATAGTGTGTTTGCAGAGACTTAACAGATGAAAGTGGTAGACAGAAAAGCAATTTAAAGGGAGTTGCTAAACTAGAAACTAGAGTTTGTGTAAGAATTGACTAGGACATGTTAAAACCTAAACCTGCTCTTTTTGTTAAAACCTACATCCACTCTCTTCATTACAAGTAAGCTCTAAAGCTAGGAATAAACGGTGCTAAAGGTGTCCTTTCTATGCAAGCTCTTAAAGGAAGCATTCTAAATTGGATTTAGAGGCCCTCTCTGTCAGTACCAACAGCCATGAGAAACACTTCATTACATTTACTTTGTGTTCCCTTTGCAGTTCACTGAGTCCAATTGATACAAGGGACCTGCTGAAGAGAGTAAATCACTTAGCGAAACTGAGGATAACAAACATGTACCCTAAAGACTTTAAACAGCTTTTTGAAACTGTGGAGTGTTTTGATGAATACACCTACAAATGGCTGTATGACGACATCATGGAAGAGGTGTCTGTGTAGCCGGCGGCGCTGTCCAGCCAGGCTGGGGCCATTCATTTACTGGGAAGCCACACAGTGAGAAAGAGCTGGTGGGAGAAGCTCATTGCTGCAACAGAAGGTAACTAACTTGCGGTTTTGTGAAGGCCAAGTAGAAAATTTCTTCTAAAGTTGATCCCGTTAGTATTGGATAAGGACGGCAGTTTTTTTGAAACTGAATAAAGTGAGAACTTCCGATGATTATAGATTTGATCAGGTTGAATTTGTTTTGTTCTGAATTCCTATCTATAGTCATACTGATAGTTGGGGCATATTATCACATGAAGTTTATTTTACGTTTAAAATTGCTTTCAGCCAAACCTTTTTACATTGTATTAATTATTTCACTTTTTATGTTAATTTTTGCTACTCACGAGGGGCAAAAGAATTTGCACATTATGAAGCTGAGACAGTAAATAAAACTGATTTTTGTAGTTTTACTTTTCTACTACAAGTATTATTCAATGAAGTTATTTAAATTTTAATATTTAAACTGTAGAATTAAAATATTTTAAGTCAAGAGATTTTTGTCTTTCTTTTGGGCTCTAAATAGCTAGTGAAACATTAAATGAACCCTAATTTATTCACTTTAAATTAGGATTAAACTTGTTCATTTTAAAGTTTTTTTATTTTGTTCCATCAAAAAGTTCACCTGAAATTAGACCTTTCCATAAATCTTAAATGGAATTAAGACTTTTTTTAGACCATTAATGAAGCTATTAGATTTTATTTCAGACATAGCTAGTCTTCTCAGATTTCTCTCTTATTGTAACAATTTGTACAACCTAAGCTGCATATTTAGTAAGGAGGGCATGTTCTTAGTGGCATTTGGCCAAACCAGTTTTTCCTTTCTTCCCCACCATTACCATTGGCTTACTGTTCACTTTGGCCGGAAACTGAATCCATTTCTTTCTCTTCCTATTCCTGCCCTACCATTGCATAACCTGCCTGATCTTCATAATGTCATTCAGTGCTCTTCCTAATCCTGTTTCTCATCTTCCAGTCTGTCACCTTGCTGGCATATTAATATTTCCAAACTGTTTCACCATGGACTCGATCAATAAGCAGTACTAAGGTTTGGCAGATTTGGTTTCCCAGTGGATAATAGAGGGATAGCCACATCTGGTACAGGGAGGAAAAGTGACTGATATCCCGAGTTATCTCCCTGCTTGAATCCACGTCTGAGTTTACAAGGCTCTGCTTCAGCGGGCCGCCCTCGTAGACAGCTACGAAAACAAAGATACTAGTGCAGGCACCCGTTGGTGACACCCAAAACAGTGTCCACTTAGATCCCATTGTCCCTGTTCCCTAGTTGGATTTCGCTGTTCCCTGACTTGCCAGCCGATTTTCCTCTCGACCTCCTTCCCTTGAGCCGCACCTCTGATCACACTAAGACATCCTCCTCCTGCCCCTTCTTGAATCAGCTTCTCACATGTGTGGTCTTGATGGCATGTTTCTCTGCAGACTCAAGCTAACTGCAGAAGTTAAGGAATGTGAAAGTAACAGGAAGAAAACGGTTGCAATAATACAAGTGTTAGAAAGACGGGACTTAGGGGATCACTGCGAGGGAGGGATTCCTGGTGACGACCAGGTGCAGAACTAGGGAATTCAGGTTAAACAGTTCTGCTAGGTCTTCTGTTTTTGCTGGTGTCTGGGCTAGTGGGTGGTCATTTGGTTCATTGTGAACCCCGCCACCCGATGGATCTAATACAATGTTCAGAAGGAATATTGGGAATGTGGCCTGATAGAGGAAAGGTGCTTGCCCTAGAAAAGGGAACTGCCCATACAGTTAGCTCTAGATGTGAACACTGGCTAGATAGAGGTGGCTAGAACCAAAAGCTTCAGTACACTCAGGGATGGCTTAGAATTCTCCGGCAGTGTTCAGATTCTTAACAACTTTCCGGTAAGAAAATAATTTTTTTTTTGCTAAAATACAGAAGAATGCAGTCAGTTTAAATTTAGTTTCATTAAAAATATTGTTCTGTATTATTGACTTACCATTTGTTCGGGCCTCAATAAATTGTAGAATGGGGCCTTGTGGCTATCATGGTATGGCTGGCCACTGAGGCTTGAGTTCCAACCCTGGCCAGGGAGGTGACCCACAAGGCATAGCAGGCTCTGTCTTACCCATTGCTCCCCTCAGCAGTGTATTTCAAGTAGATCTGCCTGTTCTGCCACCCACTCTGTCTCTAGTGAATCCTTTCACCCCCCCACCCCCAAACCTCTGGCCTACATCTCAGTTCTGATATACATAAATAGATCTTTGCAAAAATAATACTAAACTGTAGAATGGCATTTAACTGGTTACTCACCTGGACCTTGGTATTGCATGTACAAAGTGAAAAGGATTTAACCATGTGTTCTGATGTGTGACATTCTACAATTCCAGAACTATATATTATCAAAAGCACTATCTCCTACAGGAGCGAGAATGTCTCCTTTGCTCCCCATATAAGGAAAATCTTTTGGGATATGTCATCAATATAAAGCAAACGGAGCCAACATGAAGAAATAGGGAGACATCATTGTGATAGCATCTGAGTCCCTGGCTCTACCTGGAAGCATGGCAAAGCCAAGCCAAGACCTCAAGCTAGTGACTTAACATTTAATGTTTAAATAGTTTGCGGTGAGACTCTACCATTCTCAACCAAATGTCCTGACAGACGCTGTACTAGCAGCAGTCACCAGGAGCATCCCCCCCCACATGACCACATGAACGCCTGTCTGCTAGCACTTAGGGATTAGTAATGTTGGGTGATCTCCAGGCCATGAGCCCAGACCTTTAGATGAATATGCAGAGAAAAAGCTATTTTTTAGCTTCATGTCTGGGGACTATATTATTTGCACCATTCTATGATTTGAAAGAGCTATTCTTCTGATGAGAAATGTAATAAATTTTAAAACTAATCCAATAATTCGTGGTTCATTCAGTTTATTACTAAAACTGCTATGTAATTAACATTTATAGCTACTACTTAATTTACTTTTCCTAATAAAATTGTATATTAAACTTTTAATTAGGGTTTATGGGGGATTGAGGCACAAAATTCTCTGCTCTTGGCTTTCATCTGCTCATTAAAAGTGAGACTCTGAAAGTGATGGAACCAGTAGGGTGAAAAAGCATTGATTTTTGTGTGTTAAAATTCTGACATATTGTTGATGAAAGCTAATTGTAAAGCAAATCAGTGAAGATCCATTGGAAACATTAACTGTACTTGAATACCTGGAGAAAGGTCACTTTCAAGTATGGGAATCTTATTCTGTATACCATGAATGTTTTGTAACATCCTCTAGTTCTCTATACAATAAACTTGCTCTTTACTGTAAAAGAAACCTCTACAATATTTGTTGAAGGCAGGATGGGAATCAGAACTTACATGTCCTGGGCTTCTGTTATTATAATACATCTAAGCCATAATGCTGTCCCTCCAAGGCAACTTAAAAAGTAGAATCACTCTTTTCTCAAATTACAAAGATTACATATATATGGAAAAAAAGTGCTATGTCTAGAGTGAGCTACTTCCCAGTTCTCAAAGACCCTGTTCTTGCTCTGAGTTAGTGCCCGAGACCCTCAGTTCCAGGCTCACTACCAAAAACAGGCAGAAAATACTCAAGTCATTTCAACTCTAAATTCTGTGGCTCAGCACCAAGTTATCCTGGCTTCACAAAATCTCAGCAACTGAAATCCTTTATGTGCTGAGCCTTTGCTCCGGGAGCTCATGCGTTCTCTCGCTGGTACTCTCTTCACAGGCAAGCCACAGAGGCGACAGGCTGAGGTCGTCATTCATTCAGCTGTCAAGCCTCTGCATGGTAATTATGAGCACCAAGTTAAGCCTGCAGGAAGGTGGGAGTTTGCACTCCTGAAATCCTGCCCCCCTCCACCACCCCCCATGCCAGTGCCTGCTTCTGAGATTAAAGCCTTGGGTCCCTGTTTCCAAATATGGATCCAAATAGACTTCTTACACAACCTCTCAACCAGTGACTTTTTCTGACAGTACAGATTCTCTCAGCATAAGCAGCTACATCAGACTGCTTTGTTCTCTCGATTCTGGTTAGAGAATCTGATCCCTGATCCAAGCATCATTTCTCTCTCCTAGATTCTACTGCTCTACCAACAATGACAATAATCAGGGAATGAAGAGAAATGAAGATACTGTGAAATAACATCTATGTATTTTTTTTAAAGATTTATTTACACAAGAACTGGGGTACAGGCCAGAGGTGTAGGTGGAGGGGATTCACCAGAGACAGTGGGGAGCAGAATAGGCAGACTAACTGAAATAATCTGTTGAGGGGAGCAAGTATAGAGACAGGAGCCGTCTGCCATGCCATGTGGGTCACACCCTGGCCAGGAATCGAACTCGTGCCACAGTGGCTGTGGACAGCATCATGCTGTACTTTATCCCGTTGTGCCACCAGGGAGAGCCCAGATAACATCTGTGTATTCCTATACATACATTCACGTGTGTGCGTTTTTACCCCGTTCCTGACACTGCTCCGAAAACTTCTGTAAATTCCCCACAGGGATTACAACCGAGATGAAAAATTGCACAAAATGTTGAATGATGTTTAAAAGAAAACCTCTTGTAAATTCCTAAGTAATATGTGCATAGGAGCATCTTTTATTCTATTACTTGTTTCCTGGTACAAGGTCTCCTGAAGTCCTTGTTATTTCCTTCCCATGGGCTGTCCATGGAGTTGCAGACAGTTGGGAGTTTTCTGCGATCAGCTTTTTTCAAACTTCTCTCCCAGATCACAAGAAATTGGTAGGAAGAAATTCAGACTGATGGAATGCCACAACTTCATAGATTTGGGGTCTCTGGCTTTCTGGGCCAGGGAGGGAGGAGTAAGACATAAATTAGGGGTAATAGGTCAGGGTTTGGTAACTGCACCCATGTCATGCAATAGGACAGACTGGATCATCCTATCTCCTAGTAAGAGGTCCAGCAAAATGTTTTCCCTGAGAAAAGTCTAGTAACTGGGAAGAAGCCATGACAGAAGTAGCTCCTGATTCGCTCGAACTCCTTTTTACCTGTTATTTAGCTTCTTGAATTCCTTCTACATACCATGCCTAAGGTACTAATAACATGATTATACTGGTAACAGTGATAGAATGCTGTATGTAGGCATTACCCAGTACTTCACACCTAAAGTTGTTTTAATTGAGAACAGTGGTTCCTACATTTACACATTAAAGAGTTTAGAAAAACACTTCCACAAGACATATCCTCATTGTAATTTAATAAACAGACACGATCACATAGTAGAACTGACACTCAAGCCATGACTTTGAAATCTCTGTGGCTGCCTTCCCATCACACCACAGCCTCCTGTAAGCTACTTCAGAACTGTCATAAACATGGCTTTCATCTGTGGGGATTTAGTATCACCCCACAGATAACATACTAATGCAAAAATCCAATGTGCCTTTACAGTGATGAGCTCTAGCAGCCACCGCTTTAACCATCTGATGAACCTTCTGTTTATAGTTAAGACAACCTGACATTGACCACATTTGGATAGGTGATTCAATACAATCTCACTTGAATGTTTTTACAAGACATAGCTTAACTTTAACCAAACCGAACCTCTAGACACTAGCATCTAAATCTAGCTTGCAGATTACAGGAAATAGAGGAACACATTAAATAACATCAGTAAGCAAACAACTAGACACATCGGTGCATGGAATCATAAAAGAATGTCACGAAGATGCAAACGGATTCTTTTAATAGGCTACTGCTTTAAAAAATAACTTATAGGGCCCTCACTGGTGGCACAACGGGTTAAAGCACAGCACTAAGAAACTAGCAGCAGCCACTTCAGCACCTGTTTAATCCTTGACCTCGGAGGTGACCCACGTGGCACAGAAGACCTCTCCTGACCGCCCGCTGCACCCCTCAGCAATGTCCTTCGTCGATCTGCCTGTTTAGCTCCCCACTGTCTCTGGTGAATCCTCTCACGGCCCTTCCACCTCTGGCCTGTACCCCAGTTTGTACGCATAAATAAATCTTTAAAAAAAAAAAAAAGGGCTTTACAGTGATATAACTTTTTAAAGAATATTGTTTTTATCTGAGGAGATGCAAGCTACAGCATTTAATTATGCAATATGATAGTGTCGGCAACTTGCAAGCGGCTAAACCACCAGGGACACAGAAGCCCCTGCTTCCACCAAGGGAGTGGGGCAGGAGTGGCAGAGAGCCACGGATAACTGAGCTAAGCGGCGAGCCCACAGGTGTTCCCTGCACTATTCCCCCCACTCTCCGTGTGCATGCAAATTCTCACTTAAGGTGCTGGAAGGAAAAAGAAACCACCTTTCCTTGCACGGATGCCTGGGACACCGCAGCGAGCCAGGCG